CAACGGTTGGGATAGCAAGCTCCACTTGAATCGGGTCAAAGACACCCACCCTTGGAAAGGTATAATCTCAAACTACACTTTTTTCATATCCTTTATCAGATATAAGGTGGGAAAGGGCAATAGAATTAAGTTTTGGACTGATCTATGGTGGGGGTAATTCTACCTTAGCCAACTCCTTCCCTCGCCTATTCAGCCTTACCATAAACCAAGAAGCTTCCATATCCCAGGTTTTACCCCCCTCCCCCCCTTACTTCAACTGGAATCTAAATCTCAGGAAACCTTTAAGGGTCGTGGAACTTAGTGAAATCACTAGCTTCTTGCATACCCTGAGAGAGGTATACCTCTCCCAAATTTCCCCAGATCTCCGTGTTTGGACCCTTCACCCATCAGGTAAGTTTTCAACCAAGTCTTGCTTCAAGGCTTTAGTTAGGGAAGATCAAGCTACTGATCAGTACCCCTACAAGAGAATTCAGTGTGCTCATATCCCTTCCAGTGTATGCTTTTTTGTGTGGGAAGCCAGCTTAAAGAAAATCAATACTTACGACCTCCTTCAGAAAAAGAATCATGGAAGGTATTATCTATCTCCCCATGTGTGCTGTTTCTGCCTTAAAGCTGGGGAATCTACCAACCACATCCTGAATCACTGTGAGGAAACTAGAAAATTTTGGAATTTCTGTCTATCACTCTTGAATACAGCTGGGTATTCCCAGAAAATGTGGTTGATTGCTGGGTATTCCCGGAAGAGGTTTAAGCAAAAGAGAAAAAACTTTATGGCTGTCTGCTGCTCATGCTATCTTCTGGAGCATTTGGGAAGAGAGAAACAACCAGGTGTTTACCAACAGAACAAAAAACTTTGAGGAGCTGATTTCTATAATCTGTTATAGATGTTTCTTGTGGACCTCCAACTCAATTTACTTCAGAGGAGTTACTTCAGACCTGAAGTGGAAGGGGAGACGATCTTGTACTTTGACGGGAGTGCTTTTGGAAACCCAGGTGCTGCGGGTATTAGAGGGGTAATTCAAAACAGAAACGGCAATATCAGATGGGCTTTTAGTGGGCCGATTGGGATAGCCTCTTCAACAAAGGCCGAAGTCATGGCAGCTCTAAGGATTGCAAAAGACATGGGCTTACTAAACCTTATCATTAAAGGAGATTCAGCCAACACCATTAACTGGCTTTCTAACCCTGACAGTGGGCCTTGGGCTTTAGCCCACTACCTGGCTGAAGCGAGAGACATCCTCTCTTCTCTAAATGCTCATGTAGTCTGGATTCCGAGGGAGCTAAATTCTAAAGCCAACAGTCTAGCTAAATCTGGCGCTCACAGGGATTCCCTTTTTAGTGATAGTTTTTTGCCTATGTAACTTTCTGAGTGCTTAATTGCTGTGTACATCTCCTCATGTACCTTTCTTTTCTTCAAATAAAGTAAACTTTTTCTTCCAAAAAAAAAAATTACTTCAGTTAGGAAGTCAACAAAATTAGATCAGTTAAAAAGATTTACTTTCCTGAAGATATAAAAAAAAATCAAAGAAATTTTAGAGAAATAATTAAAAGACACACCGAAGAGGGATAAGAAGTTGACCCCATATGGTCGGACAAGGCTTTGCTGAATTATTGAGTTGATTTCAAAATGAACAAGAAAACAAAATCAACACGACCATGCCATTAGAGTAATTCAACAATGTCGTTTTATGATGCATGTAGACATTGTGGGTTTTATATGCTTGAAAATGTTTTTATATGTTTGATTTCATTTTTAAATTCTCATTTGAATATGCTTTACATATTATGTTTATGTACTTTAATTTTAGATAATAGGTTTTTTAAAACATTTATTTTAAAACTTAAGTTTATATTTTCATTAATAGTACGTTTTATAATTTTTTTGAATTTTTTTTATTTTTTTGAATTTTTAGCTTTTTCTTTAATTGTGCGCCTCGCCTTGTGCCTTGCGCTTTTAAAACACTGGTCTATATATGCCATATTTCAGCATAAATATCACACATTTTAGAATGAGTCTTTGTCTTGATCATATAGGTTTTGAAAAAGAACTTCAATGCTTGAATTTTGTTAAATGCAAAAAATAACTTTAAGTCTTTGTCTTGATCATATTTTCTTTCTTTTCCCCTGTTATTGTGGTTCTGACAAGCAAAGGTGCATCAGTTATTTTAAGCAATATAAAGAACTACAACTGCAATCTCCCTGAAAATGTTGGGAAATATGCATTTGGATAGAACTAGTTGTATATGGATGACAACTAGGAAGATTTCCTCTCAAAAAGAAAGACCAAACAAACAATCAAGTAGAATAGAAGGAATAGTCATCCCCTTATGCAGAAGGGATACTCAAAAGAGCAGAGGAAATGGCTTCAATGGTAAATAAATCATAAAATTTATTTGGAAAATTTAGTTCAACTCTTAAAGGRTATTATAAATTCCAAACTCTTAGTTTTGTTCTTTAAGTTATGGATGCACTAACAGGTATTTTGTTCTTTTTATTGTTAACAGGCATTTTATTCTCCTTACAGGAATAAACATAATTCATGGTGTAAGCATGCCAGAAGAAATCAAAACAAGTTAAAAAAATATGGAGAAACCTACCCATGTTAGTGCTATCTGTGCTGATTCTTTGATAACATCACCAAGTTGCCCAGTAAGATGCAAATCACCCTTTCCTGCCATAGTTGTGGCTTCAACAAACTGAACCTCCCCACCAAAGGAGGTCCAAACAAGCCCAACTGATACTCCAGGAGTTGCAACTCGTTCTGCAGTCTCTCTGTCATCAAACCTTGGAGGCTGCAGCATAGTACCACCACAATATATGATCAGCTATACCAAGTACAGTGAAAAACTAAATCTGAAAAATGAATATAGGAGGAAACCTGGGTATTCAAGCAGAACTCAGTCTGGATTCATTTCAAGAAAGCATAGAATCATAGCATATGTGCCCCACTAATTCAGATCAGCAAACCTTGGGACATCCTATGGATAGCCATAACCCCAAACCAATGGAAGTGGACACTCCCAGCACATGAAATTTTCAAACAATTGTCCATGTGTCATTCAGCCATTCCATTTTCAGGATTCACCCAATAGAGAAATGGCTTTAATCAGCCTAACATTTGGACAGACCTGATTGCTAAGAATGTGCTTAATAATTACACCAGATTTCATGAAGGCACATTGCTTTCAATTGACTCCATATTAAGAAAGATAAGGATGAATTACCCCAAGAACTTTTTCCAGCATAGCTTCATCCACCACCATAGTAAAAGTATTCTGGAAAGTATTTGATATCTCATGATTGTTAACACCCATTGGCATAACTTCCATTTCTACTTCAGCTCCCTCTACAAGCCTAGCATCCAGCATTGGTGCAGCTATCTGTTGTACATCTTTGCTAAGTGGTACTGCATGTTCTTGCTCAGCAACTCTAACCACAGCTGCACGAGCCAATGCAGCTAAGTTCCTCTCTAGATTTCGCACACCAGCTTCTCTAGTGTATCTCTGAATTACAAGTTTCACCATAGACTGCCACATTCACAGCAATCAATCAAATAAGTTCAAAAATCGTGTGCAACGTGGACTCCAAAGAACAAAAATAAATATCATACACTACATCCTATTCACCAAGATGTACAGTGAGAAAAAGATCATGCTATGTCGTGCAGGACTAAGAAAAAACCATGAAAGACACTTTCCAGGATATGAGCACATCACTGCATGATGTACCAAGTAGATTGGCATATGAATTTAAAAATCCATCAATGGTGCATCCTAAGTTAAAGGAAACCAAAAGAACACAGCACACATGCAGGGAACTAGAATCTACCATTTAGCATGTTAATGATATCTAATATACTAAAATATAAAATTGCAAGTACATCACCCTGTGTAATGTTCCTCTTGAAATGCACAAGTGGCATCCCTGTCACTCAAAAAGAAAAGTATGTGGATCAAATAAAAAAAAGAACGTATATAGATTAGACAACCAAAGCGATCCAACCAGAATGAACATATCACCTAATAGGGATCCATAGAATGATTGATTATCCTCTATTCATGTGGGAATGATTGATCTATCTTCCATTCATGTGGGCCACGTGGAACATTAGACCAGTTAAAAATCGACCCTTTCAGTCCATTCAATGCGAATTGCAAATTCTTTAACGAAAAGATTTAGCATTTTCCCTAGTGATTGTGAATCGAAAGTTTAATTTCAAAGATATAAAGGGATCTGTCTTAATTCATTGTCTCTAGTGTTTCTGTTAGCATCAAGCTCCCAACCTAGAGGTGGCACTTTCATTATTAAAACTTTAAGGACTAAGGAGAGTATCATTGTAGTTGGTTTCTTCGCTGCCAGCATAAGGGCTGTGTGCCTGTGTCTTGCATTAGGGAGCATGACTTGCTTTATGCCTGCCTCAGGAAAGAATGCAATTGCGGATCAGGATTTTTTTCAATCAATAATTGCAGAACAGGATTCATGTATCTGACCACAGAATTTGGGACAAAACTTCGTTGAATTAAGTTGTGGTTTGTCACTTTACCTTTTTCTATAGACTTGGCTATTTGGTTTAGCACCTTTGAAGCTACCATATAAAAAATGATAAAAAATAATACAAAAACATCTCTTTTCCTTTTTGAAGGATTCAAAGGTCCAATCCCTTATACTAGGGCTTCTGACCCCTCAGCAAGTTTACTATTACAACTCAGCCCTGAATAATTCTCCCCTGTTTGTCCCTTTTTGGCTAGAGAATCAGCCAAACCATTTGCTGACCTTCTAACCCATCTAAACACTCCAAACTCTCTTGAAAGGCTTGTAATCTCCTTCAAGCTCTGCCTGTGAGTTGATGTCCCCATAGTACCTGTTTGCAGCCACCCTGTCACCAACTTTAAGTCCTTTTCCACCTCAATCTGTTGAAAACCCAACTGTTTCACCAATCTCAGCCCTAGACAGAGAGCTAGTGTTTCAGCACATAGCGAGTCACCCACTCCTATTGGCCCAGAAAACAAAGCCACAACTCTTCCTTCATCTCTTATGACACCACCTATGCCCGAAGGACCCAGGTTGCCAGAGGAGCTTCCATCAAGGTTTAGTTTAAATCTTTGGATTACTGGAGGAGCCCAATTTTCCTAAATCAAAGACCTTAACGATGAGGAATGCACCACTGCAAACCAATTCCTTATAATATCATCAAGGAAAAGTCCTTGAAAAAGTCCAGAGTCTTTAACCAGTGTGCAACCTTGAAAATAATGTTCTCAATTAAATCCGCATGCTCTTGGAAGATTCCATTGTTCCTTTCCTCCCAAAGCACCTAAACTATTGCTATTCTTGTAGCTCTTCACGTTATTATTATTTTTTTGTTGGCATGATGAAAGAAATCTTCCTGATGGTTGGGCAAAAAGTTAAGAGGAAAAGCCCCAACATTTGAAAACCTCAAAATCTCAGAAGATGATTCAGAGATTCACCTACAACGCAATACTTAAATATCCATAGTATGAATTTATACCAGATTAAAAGGCCCCCAATATGGCTTTAGTTTTTCCACCTTGTTTCTTGTGAAGCCACCTGCCATAGAGTGTTGAGATCTAGACGAGCTATTCAACATGGATGGAAATGATCTCACTCCTCTATGAAACATAAAGGGTGAAAGAATCCAGCCCACACAATATGTGCGTCAGATTGCACCATAATCCTTTGAAGACAAAGAGAGAAGCCAAGCTTCAAGCCTTGCGCTAGGGAGAGGATTTCTATTCTTAAAAGGTATTTATTTTTACAACAATTTAGAGATCATTCTCAAAAGGCCCTAGATGATCGTAACAACTTAAACATCTGCCGAAAATTTTCTCTTTAACCAAAACCATTGATAAATAATACCTATTACTAATTATGTTGAAAAGAATATGCTACATGCACAAAGAAACCCCATTCATTGTACCTTATTGTTAATCATGTCTAATTTCAAATAAAAAATAAGAAAGCAGATAAGGAATTAAACTGCACCATGAGACTTTTAAGTGAACAAATCCTGGTCTGGATGGTTTACTCATCAGGGGAAAAAAGATGAAAGATAAGAAAAATGGTCAAGGGGAAACAATAAGAGAAGTTGAAACTTAAGAGAAAAAAAATAATGTAAGAATTCCAAGAATACTTGTGGTTTAATACCATGGTGGCATGACATATGATCAAGAGACTGAGATCATGCTAATATTTGGTTGTTCAGATAAGTAGGCTATGACATTTTTTTTTTGGAAGATACAGCAAGACAAGCACTTTTCATTACCTCAGGAATTTGGAGGTACTGAGAACTCAATCCATGCTGATCAAGCACTCTTGGAATTAAATACCGCATGGCTATCCTTAGCTTTTCTTCAGGTGTATATCCAGGCAGCTCAATGACCTCCATTCGATCTAAGAGTGGTGGAGGGATGGGCTGGATCCTGTTTGCAGTTGCAACAAATATCACCTTTGAAAGGTCAAATGGAACATTTAAATAGCTGATTATTTTCAATTAAGGAATAAATTTGTATATCCAAGTCCATTGATGAGAATCCTATTTAGATACACAACTAGATTAAAGTGAAGTTAAAACTTCTTCCTACTGATATTTTCTCTTGGTTTTTACTATTAAAAAACTCATAAAAAAGCCAATAATCATTGAGTAAAAACTTCACCAGGGTATAGAGCAAATATAACTGCAAACAATGAACTACATAAAGATAATATGCAATGAAATATAAAGAAATCTGGATACTGATCATTGAAGGTTTTGTTCTGCTCTGGATCAAGAACTTCCAGCAGTGCAGAAGCTGGATCTCCACGGACATCAGAACCAGTTTTGTCAATCTCATCTAGCAGCATAACAGGATTGCTTACACCTACCCTCTACAATTTAACAATCAAAACACGTGTCAATCTATGTCAGGAGTCAGGAAGTTGCAAAGTTATAAGGACATAGAAAATATATACAAATGCAAGCAATGCAATGTAACTACCGGGTAGAGATCAAATATGTCTGACCTGACAGATGTGTATCTCTAGACACTACAACATTTTTCTTTAGGGAAGGGGGGGGGGGGGGGGGGGGGGGTTGGATCTGTTTAACTGGATCTATTATACTAAGGCATCTATAGTTTCTGTTTTCTTTCTTTTTTGAATGCATTAAAAACACAAATGAATGTACTATTGGGAAACCATTAAGAGAACTAAATTAAGACTACTACTAAAACAGTTGGTTTTCAGGAGCACAGTCTAGTAATGGAATGATAGTAACCATGGATATGACTCCAAAGCTGACAACTGAGCCAAGGGCAACAACAGTAACAGGGAAAGATTGTTTCCAGATTTCAAGGATTAGTTGAGTGACACATGCAAATGCACATGTAAGAGGAGAGAGAAAGGAAGACAGAGATGAGTGTGGAGGGAGGAAAATAAATGAAGAGAAAGTGTCGGGGAGAAGATGAAGGCTGAAACCAAGGTAAGTATCATCATCATATAGTAAAGTTCAATACCATAAAGTCTAGAACATGGTAGAAGACCATAAATGATGAATACTTGCATACAAGTCAACCCAATCTGATTTTCCCATGTTCCAATGAATTTCATTAGTATGAGTTAGCTTTTTCTGAAGCAGCTTTTATTTTCTAAACTGCACATTGACTTTGATTGCTAAGACCATTCAGTATAATTGGTGCCAACATATAGGATCTCTTAGTAGGACCCACCAAATACTAGACCCAACACTCTGCAACTGACCATGTGAAACCACTGCGGATGCCCTAACCACAAATATATTCCATGAAAAAAACAAAATTATATATAACCACCACAAAAGTCTCTTGTAGCAATAAGCAAGGAAAATCCACTTTCAACCTTTAGTCCCTCAATAAGACGCCCTGGCATGCTTCCTATATATGTCCTTCGATGCCCTCTAATATCAGCTTCATCCTTGACACCGCCAAGAGATATCCGCACAAATTTTCTGTCTAGAGCTGCAGCAATAGATAAGGCCAAAGATGTCTTGCCAACACCAGGGGGGCCCACAAAACACAAAACTGGGCCTCTGGCATCTGGTTTAAGCTGCAATGCAGTTCATTAAAATTAGCAGCACCATGTTAGTTCTCATATTAACAATTAGTGAACAGAAGATAATTGAAGGCCAACATGAACAGAGAGCCAACCTTGCGAACAGCTAGATATTCAATAATTCGTTGCTTCACTTTGACTAAACCATAATGGTCGCTGTCAAGGCGCTCTTTTGCAGCTCTTAAGTCTAGTTCACGTCCTTCACTGATTTTCTGCCAAGGCAGATCAGCAAGAAGCTCAAGGTAAACACGTGAACTACTATATCCGGGTTGCTGAGGTTGCATTTTCCTCAAACGCCTGATAATAATAAATGGTTTAGAAATATAAGAAACTTCAACAATCTGATTACAGAATTAAAGCATAAAATTCTCGCATTTCACCATAAAGGTATTGAAATATCAAGATTTAAATTCAATGTACACCAGCGAATCAAAGGCATTCCCAAAAGAAAAGTTTTATTGGTTTTTTTAACACTAATAAAACTTTCAGACATTTCTTGTCCTCTGCATTACCTTTTTCTCCTTAAAAAGATTACCAAGATTTATTTACTTGCAAGAAATAAGTACGTTTCCCTTCAAGGTAGGGGAGAGAACCACAGTCCCTTAGTTTTTATGGTAATTGGAAAAAGAAAATTTTAATTAAACCATTGATGTGCGCAAGTGGTATACATACTTGGTAAGTTGGTAGGTTGACCAAGAAAACCAAAACATCAAACAATCATTATTACCCCAAGTTAGAACTTAGAGGGACCTTGAAGGAGGGTTTACCATTTACCCCTGGCTTGCTAGACTATCCACTAAGGCTAAGGCATTAACCATTCCCAATGGAACTCCTCACCGAAACAAGCTTATAAGGGTTATCCAGGGAATCTACCATAATAAATTCATGGCTTGAGGCAGAATGCCAATAATCGCTTGTTTCTGCAGTGAAAGATAAATCTTGATCTAGAAGAACAAATTGTTAAGCATAGCATCTTAGACACAACCCATTGATATATCCAGGATGCAATGGTTAACCGCCTTTCCAGGTAAGAAGGGCCATGTTCTTCTCATTAGCTCCTTCAGAGAGGGAAAAGAGATATTGGAAGGGTTATAACAATGGATCCAATCTCCCTGAAGTGAGGTCATCTTCAGTAGTCACAACTGTTTGCTTGATATATCTGGTTGGATTAAAAGACTTTCCCTTAACTCCTCAACACAGCAGCAGTTTCACTTTTGTAATCCTGATCTCTGCTGAATCTGAATCAGTTTCTCTGCTGAATCTGAATCAGAAAAAGGACAATATTTTTTTCTTTAATCAGCAAGAAGAAGAATTTTACTCAGTAGGTGGTAAGAACTCTCTCCATTGGATTTACACATAATACACTATTGGGGTTAAAACCCTTTGTTAATAGTGTGCAAATCAGCAATGTAAATAGCAAAGGAGAAATAATAAGCAATATCCGATGAGACAAATAATCAAAAACCACTAGCAATGACGCACCAGAATTTTTAACGTGGAAAACCTCTCAAATATAAAGAGGAAAGATCATGGGGCACTAACCCAAAAATCTTTCACTATTAACAAAAATAATGGGGTTATAACTTCTCTAGTTCCAAGTAGAGTATAGCAATTTCAAGAGACAAGAACCTCTCTTGGATACACAAAACAACAGTCATCAAACAAGATGTATATCAATCAATAAAACATGAGAAAGACCTCACCAAACAAGCCTGCCAAAGCCCTCTCCAAAACCACTGTTGAAGAGCCAAGAAAACCCAACAAATGCTTGATGGAATAAGCACAAAACAGAAGCCAAAATAGTTACATTAAAAGATACCCTTATTCACGTAGCAAGAAGGTTGAATCTATTCTTCTTCTCTTGTAAAAAAAGATTAGCTTATCCAACTCTTTTCTTCTCCACTTTTCCCAAAAGAGGATACCAACATAAGTGCCTAGAATGTCCACGAGACTCTTCACACCAAGACAAATGAGGTTTGTAGAGAAAGACAAAAAAGATAATGGAAAGTGGGTGCCACTATCTACTAACATGTAACCAAGACAAGACAATTTGTGTCTTTCTCACTAATGAGAGAATACCAAGAGTCTCAAACTTTATTTTGTGTTTCATTTTGACTTTCTCAAGTTACGTGTTGGGCAAGAGACCCCAACATAATGAGTGGGTCCCACCTCCACATGAGGAGGGAAACCCAACATGCACCAATTTGAGGATGCACACAAAAAGGATCTTCCCTTTTGTAAGGTATCCATAGTATTAACCTTCCCATGAAACACTTCCCAACAAAAGCCACATAATCCAAGAAAATATTGTCTAGATTCTCTAGAACTTGCAACAAACCAGTCAAAAAGACCAACTAGACATCGCTCAACTATCTTTTAAGACCAAAGTCCCAATTATGACTCACTAGAAGTAAAGGAGGGTGATGATCTTCGAAATGCAATCCTTTTATTCAAGGAAATGAAGTACAAAGAGAAAGAGAACCTAAGAGAAGACTAACCAACCTAAACATCCAACCAGATGAAAACCTCTGAGCACACATCATATTATTTATTCCACATCATGTACCATATATATGTTAATATCTTGTATTTAATTAATAAAAATTCGTTTACCTATCAAAAAATCATCTTGTATTTAATTAATAAAATTTCTTTTAGTTATTAAAAAAATATCGTATATTTAATTATAACTCCTATATTGCATGCTATCATAATCTGAACGAACTTTTACTTCTTCTAGACCTTTAAATCCTTATGAACAATTATTTGTAAATTTACGTTTTTCAATTTTAATTAATCTCATCCACATTTTAGCCCCAGATAAGCTGAAATTGCATCTAAATTAAAAATCAAGCAGAGCAGTTGACCTGGCTGGTTGGACCAGTGATGATGTCATTTATTCTATTCAACTGACATGCTAGTATCATGGGAAATTATTTGTATGCTTTTATTTTTTTATTCTTGTCTTTGCATTTCTATCCATACTACCTGTAATCACTATTCAGTGTTTTCGACCCATTGTTGACCCTGGCTAGTTGGACCAATGACTCAATCATAATTCTAGTTCGAAACCTCTGGTCCACCATATTACTAAAAAAGAAAACCACTGACTTGGTGAACAAATGGTCAACTCAAATGGTCGAACAACCTGTCTGGTCCATTGACACTGAGGGGAAATTGATTCAGTCTCCATGCCAGGTTTTTAAACAATTCTTGTAATCTTGTTAGACAGTAAAGGACATTGATGCATATTCATTATGTTTTGTACCATTTGTTTTTGGTTTGGTGTCAAATAGGATCCTTTATGATGGACCTAAACCATAATTATCTTTTATAAAAGGCCATCATCAACTAATGTTGGTCCCAACTATCTAGGGAGTGGAGACTTGGGAGGGGTAGATTGGGAATGGTCCTAACCTTTGGCATTTTTCTTCACACAAAGCGGCCACCCTCAACCTCGAATTCACATTCTCATATTTCTTATAATATGTTAAGGTTACAATTATAGAGGATCTTTGTGATTAATTACTTCATTTATACCGTAGAATACCTCAATTCTCTTTGAGCTTGTTTCCAGACACTTGGAGGCATTCCTGCACTCTGCATTTTTCTTTCCAGGGAAGCAATATCATCCTCGTCATCATCATTGTCACCAAGCTCCTCTTTTATTGCCCTCATCTGGAAAGTATCATCAAAAGGAGTTGGCAAATAAGAGACTTTCATGTAAATTACTAAGCACAATTGCTACCCATTCTCTCACCCAAAGCAACAACAAAGACAAACACAAGATTAGAAGAAGGCTCCCACTGGAAGAAATAGACCCTGATTGTTGTTCAGACTCATTTTTGTTATCCACGTGCTTGAAGGAAAAGAGAAAGTTTCTAGCATTTTAAGCGAGAAAGCAAACCTGCTGGCGCAGAAGAAACTCTTTCTGTGATTTTGACAACTGTCCTTCGACCTTTTGTGTTATCTTCTCTGCTACACGAATTGACTGTTACAGTGGAAATGTTAAAATTTACCAGAGTATACACAAAGATAACCAAGTGTAATTCATAATCAATGTCTGTCCAGTTTAATTACCTGTAAATGCCTGTCAACCAACTCCATTGCTTTTGAAAGCCTTACTTTCAAATCAACTGAATCCAACATAGATAGCTGTTCCTCAAAGCTTATTTCAAAACTGGCAACAAATATATCAGCAAGCCTGTGAACTGGAAGTGTCTCCAGAAGAGCCTTTGTCCTTCCAACAGTTTTTTGCTTCTGACGAGACAATATGAAAGGTTAAAGTTAATACTGAGAATGAGAGGTACATGATCAAATTAAATCATGTAATAAAATGTCAAATACTTTAAGCAATTAAAGCAGCTACAAAAACATGAGCAACATAATTTTTTAGTTACCTAGTCAATCAAAAGCTAACAACAGTCAGTGCCTTTGTGAAGAGAATCTTAAACAACAACAGTTGCATTTTATTTATCAACAAAACACAGAACAAAGAAAAGCAGAAATGAGGTAGGGAAAAAAATCATACTATGGTTCAAAAAGATCTTTGGGAAAAGCAAAAAAATGTGTAATATGAGAGGAAGGAGGAGGGAATTTCATGACCAGGCAAGTATAGGGTAACAATCAAGTAGACACCAGCCAAGATAATTAAATAAATAAACTTTTTCTAAATAATTAAAAAAAAAAGCAGTAGGAAGCCAACTCAAGCCAAGTCCACAAAGACTCCCAGCTATATGGGATGAGCAAAAAAATCTCAGTAGAACAAGCAAAAATATCCTGGTAGGATAAAGAGGGGAGAAATACTTTGCAGATATGTGAGAGCACCAATTATCTAGCTAGTTTGAGAAAATAATTAAATACTAGAATTGTTCCAAACAGAAATGAACTCCAGAAGCCTTAATTGAACTGATTCAGTGAGAATAGCTCCTTGGATCAAAACCATGTAATTGTTCAAGCATTTCAGCATTGATGACAACACCAAATTGAACTTTGATGGTTGCAGCTTAGGGAAGCTTAGAAGTTTGGGACTTCGAGTGTTGGAGGAGATTTCAGAAACCATCAAGACAAGTCCTCATAGTTTACTCAGGGCCAATAGGTACAAAAGATTCTAAACAGGCAGAACCTTTTTATGCTTCAGGGATTATGTTTAACAATTCCTATGGACTATTACAATTGTGGCAGGAGTCTAGGTCCTTGGGTAATCATAAACTGAATGAGGAGTCTAGGTCCTTAGCAGCCCGTAGTACTCCATTCAGGAAGCTGAAATTGTGTGCAAACAGTTGAACTTGTTCAGTTTAAGAAAGATACACAGTAGAAGCTTCCCACAGAGAGGCGCAAGGTGCAGCCTCAGAAAATGATAAGACAAATTACAATTGAGCCCAAAATAGGTAATTCTTATGCACCCCTTGCTTCAGTTGAGATCACATAACTGCTAATTCTTTAGCAGACTAACTTGCCAGGGAAAGACCAGCTATAAATTCAACTCTTTCTACTTCTCTCCTAACTAAATCATCAGCCAGAGACAGTAACTCCGAGTCCATCTGAACAAGCTGGTCACCCTAGATGCCAAAGCTCTGGCCACTCTAATACCATGTCCCAATGATCATGTTCACTAAAAGAAGGTGGAGGATATTTTTTATATTACCTGAGGGTTATCTTCACTCCTACAATAACTAAAAGAAGAGCATCCATAAGCACTAGAAGAAGGCCAACATCTCTGCAGAATTGGAGTCACCATGACCAATTGGACCAGAGTAACCATAATGATTCTGAGCTCACCATACCAACACTACCTCAGTTTTTTGTGCATATCTATATAGTTGTAAGGGTAATCATTGTCTGTCTTAAACATGACCTAATTCAACTACTGTGGTTAAGAAACCTGATCTATTAAATTTCAGCAGTTACATCCAAAAGGAAAAATAATTTTAAAGAAATTAAAAAAAAAATCAAACCAGTAGCATATAAAATTACATTGGATAGATGACACGATGGCAAAAAAACAACAATGTGTCAGATCTGAAGCTGTGAAGTGGAAAAAGATCACAAAAGAAGTAAGATCTGATATGCATATGCACTCACAAGGCCTATAGAATACATTAATTTCATCATCTCTATATAAGCGAGTTTGAAAATTTCATTATGCATCGGACCAATACACTTATTTTAAGAATTTTTGAAAAATGTTTGTTAATATGTTAAATAACTTTATTTCCCAACCAACCCCCCCCCCCTTGAAATTTTGAAACAAAAAACTAAGGGACTAGTAACTGCAGTACATTCTAAACCAAGTTTTTACCTGCTCAAGAACAGATATCAGTTCCATCGCAGTGGCTTTGAATTGACGAGAGAGTGCTATAAGATCAGGATCTTGCTCTGCTTGCTCCATTTCTATTAAGATAAAAATGAGATAATCTCAGCATTCCAACAGATAAGATCATCAATCCAGATTTCAACAACCACCACATCAATGAAAATTTTTAGCACAAGCTTAAAGAAGATGGATCAGAATATCTTTGGGGATTATATATATAGTGGCCACCAATGGATTTTATAATGATTACATATATATTTTATCGCCCTTGCTTGTTTCTATATTAAAGGTGACGGGTCACCACTCTACTGTAATTTGTTTTTTATATATTAATATAATTAACCTTTTTCTTGCTGATAAAAAAAGATGTTGATAGGAAATTCTTTTTCTAATACAGGGTGGAGTTATCTCTATTTAATAGCAGGTCAAGTAGCTGTCAATTTGTCATAGTTTGTTCTGCTGTACATAACTACATAGAAAGTCAAAATTCAATTGCTTCCACTGTCTGAATCAATTACTAAATTAATAATCAAGAAGATAAGTTCACAACAGCTAAACCTGTAGCAGCAGGATATGATCACCCAATGACTGATTAGATGGTATCAGCATTCTCTCCATTCCTATAGTGGACACAATCCAGACAATTTTCCTCTTGCTCAATTTCTTAAAAAAAAAAAAAAAAAAAACACTTTGTGGTACACATAAGCACTATATTCTGAAAACTGGTGATGGCCAGCACCCATTGGGACCTGAGATCAGGAGATTGCCTTCAAAAATATACCAGAATCTTAATATCATTTCCAATTCATATCTAGATCTTGCTAGAAAGTATATTCTGCTAACTGTCATGTAATTAATTCGTCATTCTTAGATCTTGGAGATTGTTAGAACATATAATTACAGTTCAGTCATCTTCTCCAGCAGAACAAATAAGTGTTCCTTCATTGAAGAGATATGTAAAATAATACTATTTTGGTCAAACTAGATCCATATCTTTCTTATTATTAGGAAAAAAAGGCATGTATTAGTCTTTTAGACCAATACATGGATTAATCTGTATTTCGGCCAAACTAAAAACATGAAAACAGGAAATGCTTAATCTGGACAACTATTTTATGGTTATATTCGATTACATCCTTCAAAATTGCACAGTAGATCTCCTTGGAATAACTCTTAGGGGCCATTTGATAACGGCTGAAGTGGCTCAATGGAATGACTTATTCCAGTGTAACCAATTCCACTTCAGCTTCAGCCATTAAGGACCTCAAAACATCCTTAGAAAATTACTCACTCAAAGTCAAAGAAATATGTCATTCAGCTCAGCCCCTTAGGCTTCATTTGCTTACCCAGGAGACCAGGAAGGAGACAAAGGAATGAAAACAGAAAAGAAAAGAAAAACCTTTTCCTGGTTTTTTTAATTAGTATTAGGTCGGAAAATTAATGGTCACTTACATGGAATTGAGAAAATGTTAACTCTCTGAAGACAAAACACCTTAGTGAATCTTCTATAGAAAATAACTCCTGATTTTATACTTATTTTCATTTTCTGGATGCACTTCTTTGGTTTTTGTTGACTTTTTCAGGATTCCATATAATTCTATTTAAACAAAAAAACCATGTGCATAAGGTCTTACAAGACAGGTGAATACCAGTGTAGAACAGTGAGTTGAAGAAAAGTCTCATTTTAAATGAGGCAGAGGGAACTAAAAAGAATTTTTACATGGCCAACAAGTTTGAAAATGTACAATCTTGGGTGAAATTTCAGGAGGGGATCAAGTCTTGTCTTGATAAGATCATCCAGAGGTGGTTCTGCAGGATGAAGAGTCCCAAAGTCTTGTTCTTCTTTGAGCAAAGTCAAGCATTGGGCACAGATCAGGCCAATCCAGTTGAAGCAGCAAGCTACTCCAAGTTTCCCAAGTAATACCAGCCAATGTAATATTTCCCTCTCACTCTAAAAGTTCCAAATACCAATCCTCCTCCATCTCCTTTTTTATCAACACTAATGGTGGTCCATTTTGCTCCACAGGATTTACGAAAGTATTTAGGCATAAGATTCACATTGTTCGTCCACCGTTCCAGCAGCTCTCTCCTCAAGACCTTCTTTTTTATAATAGTAAATAAAAAGAAATTTTCGTTAATAATAAAATAAATTACAATCTAGAATTTTCCAGGTATAGCAAGGCAGGACTAACTAGTCTTTTAGAAACATAAGGTTGGGAGAAGTTGGTCATTGTGCTTGTCAAAAGGCGTCCGTACTTCATTGACTTCATTCCCTTGTGTCAGCTCCATTTTTTATGAATATTCTAATTTCAACAAAAACATGAGAGAACAGGAACAATTTTGCCTTCCTTTTTCCAGCATCCCTTGGGAATTGGAATGTGTTTGCAATGCAAAAGAAAGGACTTGTGCCTTGTGTTAGCTCAATTTATTGCTAAAGGTGAACCAAATAGTGCAATAGCCTAGGCTGCATGCAAGTTGGAAACCCATGGAGCTTGGAAAATGACAACAAGCACATCGGAGAGCAAGTGCAAGCACAGGTAAATAGAAGCCTGTAAAATTACACTGGTTGGTTGGTTGGTTGGACAAATAGGGAAGTACATTTACCTTATGTGCAGAAGAGTTTAGAAGGAAATACAGGGCATAATGAGGGAGATGCAGAAATAGTTAAATATCTAGGTAGCAAAGTTTTCGAAGTCATGACAAAATATCCCAGAATATGTTGCCATGGAACAGAATGAGTTCCTTATAAACAACTTTCATGGCTATAGAACGCAAAATGTAAAGCCTTACCAGCCTTCGTGATATCAAGACGAGATATCCTGGCAGTGTAGTATGTTCCTCTTGCACTAAGTTCTTGTACACTGAACCTGCACAAACCTTCAAGGACAACTACATATGTGACCCTCCCACTTGGTTTCTCCACTCCTCTTGAGAGATGTAGAGCCCTAGCAGCAACTCCTCTGAAATAGAAAAATCAAATGCACAGCGTTACTAATTCAACAAAATGAAAAATGTTACTACAAAGATAATGACAAATCACTCTAAGAAGGCTAAATTAAATAAAACATACCTTGTATGCCAGTGAATTAGTTCCTGCTGATTTTTGCTATCCTGCTTATGAGAATCTGAAGTGGAAACTGGCTCTTTCACACCTTGATCCCCGGATTCGGTTCCAACACCTTTAGATATAAAAGATTTCTTCCTTTCAGTAGCAGAAAAGTATTCAACAGAAACATCATCTTTTATTTGTTTCCTTTTTTTCTTTTCGGGGGAGGGAGAGAGAGAGAGAGAGAGAGAGAAGAAATGGAGAGGGAAAGGTCAGCGTGACCTGGAGATAAAATAGAACCCACTGACGTAGTCTCAGCAGCATCTCGAACAGGAAGAACCCCAATTAACCCCTTCTCTTCTCTCTGCCACAGCTCCTGCTCCACCAATTTAACACTGCACAAGTCAAAAGACTGTATCACTGATTTGAGAAGTTCGAAGTAAATAAACAAGTAATTGCCCAACAAAACTGTTCTACGGGAAATAACAATAATATTAGATTTCAACAACTAATGCCATTGAACAAGACCTTCAAAGATAACATAATTTCCTAAAACCAACTGCAGAAAAATTAAAAAGAAAAAAAAACCACGTCTTTAGGAGTTAACGTAACAACAATACCACAAGTTGGAAAATAATCGTGCTTAAACCAACTAAAGCAAGAAATAAAAATGAATTGGTGAACAAGGGGAAGAACAAATTGTAACACATTTACTTTGCCATAAATAAACCAAACTCTAGGGTTTATAGCTATTCAACTCATCCCGACAAACCAAAACCATCCAATACCAAAAGATCGAGGCAAAAAAATAAAATCCAAATGATATGTTGAATAAATTCAGTACTATGCTCAGAAACATTGAATTTTTACGGCTCGGGATAAACATAAAGGTTTAAACACCCGCAATATCCAACAAACCAACCCAGAATGCCAGAGAGAGAGAGAGAGAGCGCTTTACCTGCTAGGTGAAGTACATCGAATTCGAATAATAGCACCAGGCAACAACACCTTATTCCTGAAAGGAAGAATCGCCAGACGACTCGGTAATTCAACCGGTTCCACCATGTCTGCGACTCGGGAGAAAACTAAAACCAGAGAATCAGAGAGAAGAGGGCAAATGCAAGAAGAGACTTCTGTCTTCCGGACGACACTCTAATAAATCGGTCAGAAAATATAGCACGAGTAGCGACGGCTCGTCTACCGTTTTCGACCCATCAGACATTCTCGGTTTTTATTTTTATACCATTTTTCCATTCCAATTAAAAAAAATGAAACCTCCATTCTCAGCCGTCCGATATTCGGATAAGGTGACAATACGCGTCGGAAGAAGGTGGAAGATATTTTTGATAGGTCCGAGATAGTGAAGGGTGGTAATGTTTACGTGACGTGTCTCAACAGACAACATTGGCTGCTTGATTTGATGATGGCTCCGCCAAATAGGAAGGAGGGGAGATGCGCTGTGGAAGAGCCACGTGGACGATTGTGACAAGGAGAGAATGTCCACGGGTGTACCCCGTAGAGACGTAATGCTCCTTCCCGCGTTCCGCCTCTATTTTTACCTTTTATTTTTTAGTCGGTCGCGTAAAGACAACACACAAGTCCTGACTCCCAACTCGTGAAGTTGACGAAAATCGCGGGAGAACCCGGCTAGCTTGTAAAAATATTACGTGAATATGGATACTCACTGTTGTCATTTTTGTAACAGTTATCATTCCGTAACGGTCGTTTTCTTTTTTTCTTTTTTTTTTTTTGAATTTTCACAATTTTTGAGTAATAATGTTTGATGAACGAATATTATTATTACTAAAAATGTGAATAATGATATTATTATTAAAATGTAATAATAATAATTACATTTTTAAGCCATGTTGATTTTATGTTAAAAATGGGTCAAAATTTGTAGGCTCAAAGTAGTGTCGGGTAGGTGTCAGCTCGGAATTGATGTCAATTCACGGGCGGATGTTGATGCATAGAATGTGGGTTGTGGTCCTTTTGAATGTTTAGAGCTTTACGGTGTAAAATTATGGTTTTCAAAAATAGACCGGACCAGATAATCGGACTGAAAAAATCGAGAACCAGTCACTTGATCGGTTCTGTTTTCCCCCAAAACTGCATTTTTTCCTAAAAATGGTAAACGTAGACCTTAACCTATGGGGTCCCTCTGGGTCTTTATATTCCGTAATACAATACATACTCCATCCAAATAAGCCCGTACGTACAAAAGTTATGTTTGGTAAAAGTGTTGTTTTTATTTCACCTTAAACCTTAAATGTCGTGGGTTAATTAATACAAATTGGGATAATTATGTGTTGTTATGAAATCACATGCAAATGTTAACATGAAACGTTTTAGGTAGGAAAACAAAGCGGAAATCTATGATACCAAAAAGGCATGGTACCCAAAGAACTTTGCCCAATCAAAGCAACCCATGAATCTTGATGAATACCATTTGATTGGTCATATTTTTATCTTTTATGGTATCAGTTGATTTGCTGTATTTTTTTTCTGGTATCATATCTTTTCCTTATTATAGTCAAAAACATTAAAAAAAAAGTCCTTCCTCACAAATTTATATTGACCAATTCAAAACTTTTTAGGTGAAAATAATGATGATACCAAACAAATTAAAACCTAAGGTTGTGTTTGGTTGCAATCCAAATGAATTTACATTGATGCAAAACTATGGTAATGCAAATGATTTGATTGTAAATTCTGACATATTTTTGTTTTAATTTTTAACTTATTTTGTTTGATTGCAGTACAAATGAAGTAAAATAAGACATAAAGTAGAATAAAGTAAAATCAAAAACAAAATTAAACAAGAATTTGTATTTTTTTTAGTTTTGCACTCTCATTCGTTTATACTAGTGCAAATAAATTTACACTGCAATCAAATACAGCCTAATGCTCCATTTGGAAAGAGTATAAATACAAATATGTAGAACCAAAACCTTATATTTTATATTATTTTGTATGTATTTGTATAGATACATATTTGTATTTATACTTAGTGCTCATTTGAGAGGACTGAAATGCAACTACTCAGGACTAAGTAAGGTGGGCCCACATTGACGGCCTGTTAAGTATATTTGGTGAAAGTTTCTTCAAAGCATGTAAATTAAAGCTTCAAACCCTTACACGAGTTTTCAGCTCTCCTACCCAGAACAACCCTACCCCTATCTACGCGTGGAACATCACAGCCACACATCAATAATATCTAGAACATCTCCCTTGTATGTGATCGTTCACGGAGAGATGTTCCCTCTGTGGTGTCGTGTATGTAGGGTGGGTAGGAGATACCCAAGCAGACCCTAATTAAACCATTAAAGCACACAAGAAGTTCGGTTACATAAGCAAAATGAGTAACGGTGTGCTCCTTTTAGTACAACTAAACGTTGTCCCTTTTAGACCAAAAATTGTTGACTCTAAACTCTTTAGATCGACCACACACATCAAATTTCTTTTTTTTTTTTTTAATGAGACATACAGCACATTCCTGATAAGATGAAAATTGAAGATAACAAAAGAATGGTGTCTATTCTCGAAGTTGACATTGAAGGCCATTGTTTTACCAATCATAGTCAATAAAATAATTAAATAAAAATTATTTTTGAGAATGGTAATCAACTTAACTTCAGCCATTAAGACTTCATAATTCCACTTAATAACCTTCTTAAAGCAATAAGTTGTTCAGCTTAATCACTTCAGTCGCTATATATGAAGCAGCCCTCCCTAGGATATTTCTAAAAATGCTTGAAATTACTGTTCCCAAAAAAAACCGGGATTTGCTACTCACAAAGCGCACCTCACAGCATATCCCACTATGTATCGGGAACATCTCCCATGAATAACAACACATGAATATGAGAGATGTTCCCAATGTGCAGTTGGGATGTGTTGTGAGGGGTAAATCAGGACGGGTATCAAGGGAACCAGCCCAGCATTTTATAAATTCAATAAAGTGTTTATCCCACTCAATGTTTTAAAAAATAACATGGAGTCGGAATTGTTCTGGCCACTAGTTTTTGTGTCGATGGTTCGACCATCCAATTTGAATAGACGGTTCATTCTGGCAAAAAAATATGTAAATAAAATAAAAAAACAGTAAAAAACTGTTAAACGGATCATTGGTTCGACCACCCAATTCAATATGTCATTGACCAATTCAACGGTTTTTGGCTATGAACTAAATTTAGGGTAAAATGGATCCAGTTGCCTGGAAGATTCCCGAACCAAATGATCCGACCATCCGGATCAACAACGGTTTAAAAATCATGATCCCAGCTATTAGTATTAGAGGTCTTGTATTCCATGAATCTTGTTATGCCATTCAACTCCATTAAATATTTAAGGGTCATGTATTCTCTCATGTTTCTATTGCTTTATAAGTGCATGTATTCTTTCATGTTTCTTTGGTTCATGTATTGAGTGAGGCTTTTTGTTTGTTTGCCTTACAACGTCAACCATGTCATTTATTCAGCCTAATTTTTATCAATGCAATAGATAGTCTGCATCAACCATCAAGTTCAAACCTTATCTTTATTTACCTCATTTTCCTTGTTTTTATCATCCATTGTGGTATAAATCTAATTAAGTTCACACAAGCATAACCATTCTATATTTAATACACAGTGGAATTCTATCATTGTGCCCCATGATACTGACCCTGTCATTAATGTTCACACAAGCTTGGTGTTGATTCAGTGAAGCCACGATGACCATTTCCAGCAATGAATGGACTACAGAACTGGTGACTTTTTTTGTTACCATATTTATCTTGAAAATTCCGTGCACGCATATAGCGGTGTTAATGGACGGGTTTTGAGTTGGATCCGTCCAAATCAATATCAATTTGGACAGATTGGATTGGATCTTGTTCATCTGTAAGACTGGGTTTGGAAGGAGTACAAATGCAAATATATGGAGTGTAAAACCTTATATTTTGTATTATTTTGGAGATGTTCCTAATACACAGAGAAGGAATGTGCTGTGAGACGTTGTGGGGGCTGATTTGATCTCACTTTCGGGGTACACCATATACACTGAACCTCCCAAATGACGACCCATCCTAAATTTTTAGAGTCTACCTTTAGTATATGGTGAACTGACTTCATAAAAGACCCTCATGTGCCTGTTAGGTGCGTATTCAAACAATTCTAAAAGCCCAAACTGCCATTATATCATTTTATTACGTAAAAAACATAAAATACAAAAACTGAAAAATAAAAGAGGAGTATGAAATTGTAGAAAAATACATGAAACACAACAACGGATGATGGGAAAAATGGAAATAAAAAAAGGTACAGGAAAGGAAACTGTACGTATGTACGTCTTCAAACAATTCTAAAAGCCCAAACTGCTTGATTAAAATTCATTGTAGGAATGCAAATTAATCCGATTGGATTTAAATCAGAGTATATTTGATTCCGATTTGACATTGTTTATGTCGGATCCGATCCAACCAGATGTGATAGGATTCGATTTGAATTTGAATTATATTGGTAACTTAGATCTTTGGATTTGATCAAATCCAACTTGTTTTCTTTAAAAATTAATAAATTATTAAAAGAAAAATAAAATAAAAACAAAAAAATGAAGTATTTTTTAATTATTTTCATTTATATATACATGTTTTCTATAAAAAAAATAAATAATATAACAAATTTATAAAGATATTGATGATGCACAATTCGGCCGATCTTAGCTGTCAACGATCTTGCCTCTGAACTGAGTGGCAGGGACCTGAAACAGAGGGAGTGAAGAAGTTCCGGGGAGAACCCGGCGTAAGGGCTCCGAAGCTCAAGTTAGAGTCTTTCAAAGGCAAGATAAACCAGATAGCGCAAAAGTTAGCATACCTTGTTCTTGGGGGGTAGGAGCCTTTTATAACCACCTCGCGCACTCACTTCCAGGCTTCTGTCAGATCGGGCATGATTATCTCTGAGCTATTGCCAGTTCGGATGTCATTTCCTCTGGCCGGACAGAACCGCCACTGCTCCTTTTGTCGGAGCCGTCTCTGCGGCTGGTAACGACGGTGACAGGTGGCGGTAGCAGGAGGCCGTTTGAAGTGTGGCTGTCAGGCGTCAGATCCCAAATCAGTCAGGTGCGCCGCCCTTGGATACGGACGTCCTTGGTGTCAGGTACGTTTGGCCAGTCTGGTGTGACGGAAGCGAAGTGCTGGAGTGGCGAGCGAGATGTCTTGAGTTCGGTTTGGGGA